GGTGTGGGCCCTGTGGCCGCTGTGGCCTGGGGTCGGTGTGGAGAGTGGGGCGTGGGGCCGGGGGGGCCCGGGGGGCGGGGGGGGGGGGGGGGGGACACTCTCTGGTGCCCCGAGGGTACTGAGGGCAGCTGGGCTAGTGCCTTTGCATCAGAAGAGACATGGGAGATGTCGGCAGATGATAAAAGGCCAACTCTCAGCAGGGGGCCTGTCCAAGGTTTATTCCGAGCTCCCGAGGGAGCCCCACACCTCAGTGATGCGCCTTGCTCAGAGTCAAACAAAAGGAATCTCAAGGTTACATTTAAAGGGGGGGGGAGGAAACCAAAGGTAGATACATTTTCTGACCAATAAAAGACCCTCCAGGGATGCAGCCTTAGGGATGGACATTTGGGATAGCATATAAAATAATACTTGGGGGGCTGACCCCTGGCCTCGGACTAATCACTTGTCATCACTCGATGACTTGGACCAAAAGTTCTAGATAGAGGGAATGGGATGCTGAGTGGCTGACAGAGAGCGAGGGTGGGGATTTGGGGATGATCTCAACACAGGAGAATGATTACACAGGTAGAGGAAGGGGGTATAAAAAGGGGTACATCATTTGGGAAAGTAAGGGGATACAAAACCAAAACTATTACAAAGTATAAATGCACACTACAAGAAGTGTGTCTATGTTGGCAATTTAGGAGATTTTTAACAAGCTGATTATAACATTCACTGCCTTCTAATAATCTTTCCATTACATTTTAACCTCTTTGTAACTTGTTTAACTTTTTTCCAGCTCTGAGACGCATCTTGACTGGATCAAGCACGAGTGGAACTCCAGGAAGGACTGGTGGCCAGCCTTCCATTTTAGCCATTACTTGGCAAAAAGGAATTGGCAGGGAAATAAAAGCCTTTCATATGAAAAAGCTCTGGTGGCTGGAATCCTACTGGGAAAGGGTATAATTTTTTTTTCTTTTCACTACATGTCTGTAGCTAGAAATAATGTCTGTTTCTAGCCCTAATGACATGGTATGCAGCCAATCTGCTGCCTGGAAGAAATGCAGTCTCTTTTAAAAAAGGTTATTGTATTTGGAGCTGAACATGAAAGGTATTTAAGTTGGTTTGATATTTAACAGTGAGGCAACTGGTCTTATCATGGTTTAGAATTCAGTTTTATCTAGCCTTGTTGAGCAGCCACAATACTATTTGTGTTGTGTTGTTCACACCATAACTCCAAAAATGCACAGCACCCTCCTTAGGGAATATTGTGAGGACTGCAGGGAGTTTGCTTGCTGGATGCCAGCCTGGGCAGTGTCTCAGCAATACTGGGTGTCAGCTGGTCATTAAGGACCATGGGGATGTTTTAATGCAGGAAAAAAAAGGGAGAGTCTGAATGAAAAACGTCATCATTTTGGTAAGAAGGTGAAAATCATTACCTCTTTACTAGCATTATTTGAAATGCTGCCAAAACAAGGGGAGGATCAGGCCAAGAATCAGCTGCTAAATTCAGAATAAGAATATGATGTGGAGACAATGGCTTGTACACTGGTTTGGACTTCTGGTTGGTGGGCAACATGTTCATTGTCACCTTTCTATAACTTTTTCTTCTGCACTTCATAGAACAATTTCTCATGTTGGAAGCTCTTTGGATATTTTTTGTTTTGCTTTCAGTGGGACCAAATATCTTCATTTTATTTCCAGATGGCAAAAGAAAAGCCTTCCAGTTCAGATTTTCTTGAATGTAGTTTCAGTACTTACTGGTCTCAATGTGAGCCTCTGTTTTCATTATCCAGCATAATAAATTAATGTATATCAATGCTGCTTTACACTCTTGAAATTTTACTTTCTGATCTAATTTGCAGAGCAAAAATGAAAGAGAAAAAAGTATTATGCAAGATAAGCATTTAGATACATGTAGAATGTTTGCTGGGCTAAATGAGGATAAATTATATAATGCTGCAGTTATGTCTCTAATGAGCACGTATTGGATTTTAATACCTTTAATTACTGAAAAGTTTCTTAGCTGTTTGCATATTATTTAAAGAATGAAAGCATTTTGTATTTGCTTGTATCAAACAACTTAGTGTTGTTTTTTATTTCTTTCCTCAGATTGCAAATACTTTAAATATGTATTGCACCAAGGCTGCAAAGCTCAGCTGAAAAGGTTTTGGATGCTGAAGAAGTTTGTGACCAGGCACAATCCTGTCTACCTGAGAATATCTGGTCGTCCAGATTCCTCTGTTCAACCGTGATGAGAAGGTGTCCCTAAGGTTCTTGGTACTTTTTTCTCTCTGTAAAACTGACTTTTGTGTTGGTGGTACTCCAAAACCCTATTGACTCAGTACTAGACTTTTTTTAAAATATATTTATGTAAAATCACTTTGGTTTGCCTTTATTTTATAATAAAATGAATATAAATCAAGTGATAATGTCAAAGAATTTCTGTAATGTTACTCTAATATTTGTGTGAAATACAACAAACAGTGTTGATTTCAAATACATCTTGAAAGAGCAGAGGCACAGAAATACTGAGAAATTCTCTACCTGCTGGAAGAGACTTTTTTTTTTGCAGTCATGCCCATGAGTTGAAATATGCAGTGTTGCTGTGTTTGGAAAGTAAATGTTGATGTGTTATCACAAACCAGAATTCCAGTTTGCTTGAAAACAACAACAAAATTATTTCCAAATACTACTTCTGTTTTAATGCCATATCTGTAGAATTCTGGAGGTGAAGTGCTTGAACCCCCCTCAGTGATTTTGGTCTGGGTTCACATGGGTCTTGTGAGAAATGCCTAAAGACATGTCTTAAACATTAAGTGAAATACTTGCTGTAACTATGTTTTGTTAAAGGCAATTACTCATCATTTCCAACCCTAGTGCTTGTTTACTTCTGACTACCTAAGAATGCTGCTTCCTCACTGTGTAATAGTCAGGGGGTACTAGGTTGCGTGTGGGGGTGAGGGGCAAGGAGACAGAGACACAACTCACCCCTGATAATCATGTGGCACAGAGGAAGTTTATTTTCCCAGGCTACCCTTTAAAAAGACTTTTGAAAGACCCGGTCTGGATATTCTCATTGGTCTGAACTCCATGCCCCCTCAGGATCTGGCCAGTGAAATGCTTCATAAGAGATCTGACTGGGAGAAGCCCCTGTTAGTTAATCCCGGGGCTTGGTAGCAAGCTCATATGTGACATTCTCTCTTTAATAAAATTTGTAATTTGTTTTCTTTTACCCATCTGCAAGGGCCCTTTACAAATGGGACAACAAAAGACAGCATGACCAAATTGGCACGGAAGCTGCAGCATTTCTGTTCAGTATCTGTTGAGGGAGAACTCAGGCCACAGGCACAATGCTTATATGTTACAACTTAGAAAAAACAAAACCCGTTCAACTTTTAACCCATTTAACCCTTACAGAAAAGCCCAACTATTAAAGACAACTTGTAACCCATTTATCCTTCGAAGAGCCCAACACCCAGAAAACAATCTGTAAACAGAAAAACAGTTTGTAAACAGGAAAATACTTGGTAAACAATTCAAGTCCTTACATTGACTGTCTGTTGTATCGTGCTTTTTGTTTTATTAGTAGGTTTATGGTTTGATTTGTGTTTTGGTGGTGTTCCTTGGTGCTGTTTTCCTTTTGTTTCCGCCTTTTCCCAGTTATTTCGTCAACTAGTTTCTATTTCTCCAAACTTTACCTGTTTATTGAAACCGCTTTTCCTCCCTTGGAATTATATTGTTTCACTGCTGTTATCTCCGCCTAGAATTTTTACTCCCAACTCTCCTGATTTGTTGAAAGTTGTGCCTACCCCTGACCTTCCCCCACATATAAGTCTTTGTTTGCCCCTTGATCGGGGCCCCAGGAGAGGAAAAGGGGAAGTTTACCCTTTATTTTATCAAATAAAGTTTCCCTGGGACCCGTGTGTTTTATATTGCGCCAAAACAACTGACAACTGGGATTCAATGGAGCGCCAGGGGGAACCTGCTGCCCCTCCTCTCTTGTCATCATCTAGCTGGGGAAATAAAAGCGGCAACTGTCCATGAGGTAGGTGGTCATCTGTGATCCATTGTTCTGTTGAAGAGACTTCAGAATGCTGTCCAGTGTCCTTTACCTTGGATTTCATAGGAATATTGTACTGTTATATGACCTGTTGTAAAACATAAGAACATGACACCGCCCAAAACTCAAAAAGGGGGGGGTGTACCTTCACCCCAACCTTTTTTCCCCCTTTTTTCTTTGTATAGTAAGTAGAAATAGAAATAAAACATGCATTTCCTAACGGTATTAATAAGGTAGGGGATTGCTAAAAGGTCTCCTTTTCACTATGAGCAAACTTGGAGGGCTACTTCCAGACAAAGCCTCGATGGCTGTCTCAAAAGAAAAAGGGTTAGTCTTTTTGCACAAAATCTTTACCAGCCAGGTTCATAGGTTGATCAGCTAATGACTTGGTTGGCAGAGATTCCCAGCATAAAAACAAGTTTGTATTAATATCCAGTGCAAAACAAAACAAATTTTTTTAACATGACTTACAGTATAAGCAATACTCTCTTCTTGCCTTGTTAGAAGTTAGAAATTTTATTAGTAATTTATTATTTGACTTTCAATTTTTTTAGAATGATGACAAGTGGCAAAACTTCAGTTGAAGAACTTTGCAACTGAAATTTGCCTATGATAAATTAATTTTGCTATGGGTATCTCAGTGGACACCTCCTGGGTCTTAGCCATCCTTCTTGAAATACTATGACAATAATTAGTAGGAGTATTAAAATATACATAATAATGTATACACTAATGCTTCCCTGATACACAGCATTAATAGTCTGAGGCAGAAATATAACACCTTGCTGATCATGGGCTTGCTAATTTGGTTCTAACAAATGAAAACACGCATAATAAATATTGTACCATGAGTTCTAATGCTTATTTTACAAACAGTTGTACCTTATAATAACTTTTGTATGACAACCTTTCAGTGTCTATTAGAGTTTTTGTGACATGAAAACCTTGATTTATCAGGGGCTAATGTGGTTGTTATACTTGTAAGGAAGGAAACTTGGTGACTGTTTGCCTCCTCGCCATCCATTTGCTAGCAGCGCCTAGCTTCTCACTTGTCTGGGTGACTGTGTCTTGATCTCATCTGCTGTGAGACATGCAACCCGAGTGTTCGGCTCAATCTCTTTGGGCAGACTTGACCATCTCTGCCCCTGTGGTACCACACCCCCGCCTGTCTCCCTGCACTGCCTTTTTCCGAGCGGCACCTTTGCAAAGGCCTCTCCCACACTTTGCTTCTGAGTTTTGCAGCCTTCTTTGGAGGCAGGCTCGGTGGGGGGGGCTGCTCCCTCCAGAGGTGTGACTGTGTTCCACAGAGGCTGGAGCAGGGACAGGCTCTGGAGGTGTGGCCAGGCTCCACGGAGACCTGGCTGTGTTCCTCGGAGACTCTATCAGGGGTGGGACCCTTCCCGTGAGGTCGGCTAGACGGCGGGTGCTGCCTGGCTGGCCCCACCAACCACTGCGCAGAGTAATGGCCGCGGGGTTTCTCCCGGTCCAGGAGGGGTTGGAGTGCCCGCATGGCACGGCCCCTCCCCAGGGGGGCAGAAGCATCCACCACGTGGTCTGCTCTCCCCGAGCAGGGCGGCATGGTAGCCTGAAGTGACTGCATAGGGATTATTGCAGTCTGGGGAGGGCTCAGGGCATCTCGGAGAAGCCGGGCTATGGTGGCTGCCATCTCTCCACGTGGTTGGATTTCGCAATCCATCCCGCCAGCTCCCTGGATAATGCTGGCATCTGCCGAGGTCCCCCCACTCCCCGTAGAAACAATCCCTCTTTTTTGAAAGAAGAAAATCAGTACCTTCATCACGGAGTTTTCTGGTCCTGATATCCAAGATCCCATAGTCTCAGTTCCGATTTTAGTCCACAAAAGAGGTTTTTAAACCCTCACAGCACTTTTTGCTGTCTGCTGAGGGATTTTTTTTTTTACCACTGTCTAACCAGTGAGTTCTGGATTTTCACCGGAAGTCCAGTTTTTATACCATTCTAGCTTTCATGCCGTTCCCAGCTCTCGGGCTGTATTATTCCAGGCTTTTATGCCTAAACATTCTGGCTATTATGCTTGATAATCTGTCTCTGAACACTGTACCGGCTTTTTGCTGTCTGTCTCCTTTGCTCTGTGCCAAGCAATGGCTGAGTCCCAATCACTTCAGAGGCCACCACGTGCAGCTTCATAAGAGATCTGACTGGGAGAAGACCCTGTCAAGTTGGCTTGGTAGCAATCTCATATATGATATCCTGTAACAGGCGAGTTGTGATGGAGATTTTCAACTGGATTTGAACTATTTTAGTTTAGATTGTGAAGTTTCAAAATGTTCTTCCCCAGCATCCCATAAGGTGTACCCCAGCTGAAATGAATACAGCAGGAGATCTTTCTCCTTTTTAATGTTTTTATTAAAAAGAATCAGCTCAGGTGGGGAGAAATCAACGGGTCATGCCCATGCCACCTGTGCTCCCAGGAGTGGCACGGAGGAGGACAGCAACTGGCTTAACTCTGCAACCTTAAAAAAAATCGACAACTTTTTATTCATAACACCAGCCCTGGGAAGAAACCCCTTCTTAGGTGAAAGAGATGATCCAGACTTGCTCCCAATGTCTCCAACTGGAGTTCATGCTTAAACATGGGCCTAAACCTGTTCTGGGACAGCCCCGGCAGGCAACCAGGTGTCTCTTCCCTTCCAGACACATGGTGTCCCTTTCCTGGAGTCTTTAATTGGGCTTCTTGCCTGCTGTTGTGCCCCTCTTCTCCCCTGGATTTGCAAAGATGGACTTTGATGGTCTGGTGAATCTCCTGTGATGCCCCTGAGAGCATCCCAGCAGGGTGTTACTTGGGCTTCCCCCTTCCATTATCTTCCTGTGTTCCTTTGTGGCTGTTATAGGTAAAAATAAAAATTGACCCAATCATAATAAAAATAAAAGCTGAAATAAATGGGCAGGAGATCTTTCTCCTTTTTAATGCCTTTATTAAGAAGAATCAGCTCAGGTGGGGAGAAATCGACGGGTTGCACCCTCGCCGCTGTTCCTCCCAGGCGTGGCACGAAGGAGGAGGACGATGCAGTTTTGTCCGCTGGTCTGCAGGCAGAACTGGGGACTCTGTCCTCACGGGAGAGTCGTTGAGTCCTTGGTTTGTTTTGTTTAGAAACCCGGGGGGTCTCTTTAATCAGTTTCTTTTGAGGTTAGGGTGAGAAAATAAAAAGGTCCAAGCAGGTACTGGACTATGCTCCCATTCTTAGACGTCACTTAAGTCACTTGTTGGCTCGTGATTTTAGGGGTTTTTTTCTTGTAAAAACTGTAAAACTGTAAAAACCCAGGGTGCACTGCATTTCTTATTTGCATGTTGTCTCTGGTGTCACTGCCCATTCTCTTTACCCTGGAGGG